TTTTTTTTTTTTTTTTTTTTCCCTCGAAATAACGGACGGGAGCCGATCGATAACCGTGAAACTGGCAATAGTCGAAAGAAGAACACAGCGTAAGCGCTACGAGACGTGATATATTGAACGATACTTTTTACAAAAAAAATGCATACAATTGAACGATATTCACATATTATTAAAAAGATAAATCATACAGCTTTAATACCCTTTTGAACATTGAACACAACATTAGCCGATGTCTGAAATAATTTCTTTTCGTATTCTGTGATACGCATCCGTACGATATTCGTGATTCCCTGTTCACCGACGCTACAAGGTAGAGATAAGAACATTTCGTGACAAACTTCGTGATGACCCTGAAAGAAAAACGATAGATTCGTTTCATTCGATATCAGAATATATATCTTGAGAATCTCGAGACGAATAATCAATTTATCTATACCTGAATCAAGGTTGAAACTGGTATAACTCTCTGCGTGTTGTTGAGAATAGCTCGCACGATGTCGGCAGCAGCGAGTCCAATTGTCGTATTGGTGTATCCCTTTAGACATCTAACAGTGGGTCCACTGAAACAGCGAGAGGAATGCAAAATTGTCGTATTATTGTGATCGTTTCGACGAAGCTTTCGTAGCAATTTCGGGGGGATGAGTAGAGAGACATATACACTCACAGTCTGACCACCTCTTTGGAAAGTTCGTACCATCTTTCCTCGTCGGTCTCGAGGCCGATATTGGGCAAAATGTCGCGAAACTGTACACCCGCGACATTCACTCCAGACCAGAGTGGAACTAGGAAACGTGAAACGGATTTAAACGGATACGGGCCGGTCTCGTCCCCACCCGGATGGCCGTAAAATTAGATGGCCGAAATTTCGAAATTTATGGTAAATTTAGGCGTGGTGGCAGGTTTCGAACTCACCCTGACTGTCCCCGTGCTCGCCGATAATAGTGGCGTGGACCGAGCTAGGCGCTATTCCTAAACGATCGGCGATTAAGAAACGAAACCTCGATGAATCGACGTGAGTCCCGGTTCCTATTACTCGACTTGCTGGTAATCCGCTTATTTTCCACGTTAACCACGATAAAATGTCAACTGCGCAAGCAACAATTGATTTTGAACGGTCGTTTCGGGATTGGATGCGTGCGAGAAAATGTCGGTCCGGATCGAGTTGAGTAGAAATTTCGGATAACGAGAGATCCAGATTGCCGAGAATTTTTCAATTTTTTAACTCGTCTCGTCTCCAGACGATTCTGACGATTCTTATTCACACGTCGAATCTCTTCTCGAGCGTTCCAACATTTTCCAACATATCTTTTCCTTCTCTTCAACCTGGATTACTGACGACCAGGATCACAGCGTTTGGACTGTAACCAACCAGAGTTGGTATTATGCTTTTCAGAATCTCTGAATTTCGTTGTACCAGGTCCAAGCGTGATTCACCCTTCATTTGTCTAGCACCGGCAGCTAATATGATCACCTTCGAGTTGCTTGTGATACAAAAATCTGAAATAACATTCTCCGCGTTTCTCTATCCTCCTTGATAATTTCTTCCATCCACACATATATATATATATATGTATACACGTTACCTGTGTCGAAATCTATACGCGGGCTTTCTAAAAGCGCCAACCCGTGACAATAATCCATCCCTTCTCCCTCCAATTTCTTCGGGAACGCATCCACTATAGCGACATGCGCGGTTATTTTCTGCGGGGGGATCAGAATTGCAAAATTACTTGGATCCTTATCGAAGATTTCTCAAAGGTATCGTTCGATTTCCGCGTGTTTACTTTCATTTCCGTGTTCGAATAATGAATCGCGCGCCGATTTGGACGAAAAAAATCGAAGGATGAAAATATAAATATAAGAATATAAGAGAGATGGAAGGGAGGAAGAAGAGGATCGATTTACCTGGAAGATAAGCGCGTTCACGATGGCCACGCCAACCATACCGGATCCTACCACGGTCACTTTGTGACAACAATCCTGCACCGGTTCCGAAAACTTGCAAAGCAGCTCTTCCTTCAAACATGGTTGTCTGAAATAAGAAATTTCCGGTAAAAATGTTCAAAGATACGTATCGTTCGGTGTGTCGAAATCATCATTGGTTTTTTTTTTTTTTTTTCCTCTCTCTTCGATCGATGGAAAATTCTGTGATGCAGCTTGGAGGAAAATAATTTTTTATTACGAGTGTTCTTCTAGGCGCTTTTGAAGAAATTTTGGGCGTTGCGTAAAATTGGATCTTAATCACGAATCGCCCACGATTCTGTATAATTATTTTTATTCGATAATACACTTTTACGAAGCTCGTTTAACAATCGAAATTACGAAAATCCTAAAGATTTATATCTGTTCGCATAAATTTATTTTTCGAATATTATAAAAAGGATTAAACGCGAGTTGAAACTGTGCACGCGAATTATTCGATATAATGATATAACGACGACGTGTATCGTTTATTAAAATTTATCCCAGATATTCTTCACCACGAAATTTCGAATCATCACGCGAATAATGCGTTGCATTTACGAGACGACAAAATCTTCTTGTTACCATTTCAATTTAATTTTAATTTCACGGACAGCCTCTCGCCTAATTGCTTGAAATTTAGTTTTCCACATCGTTTCCACGTGTTGATCGGTTCGAGTGTTGAAAAGGCACATGTTAGATCGCTGAATTTTAAATTAATCTTAGACGAATATTGAAATTGAAATTTTAAATTCGATATGTACCGCCGATATCGAAGTAACGGCGGTCAGTAGACAAGAAGTAGACAGGATAGATCCGCGTTAGGTATACAGAAAACGGGCCGCTTACACGAAACTGACCGCTCTCTGAAAATCGGATCCAGCGTTGGCGTCCTTGCCGAAATCAGCGGACGCTACTTTCTTCTTAATGTTCCCACCGAAGATATCCTTTAATATCGTTGGTGGTAAAGTACGATTGAAATGTTTATTGGACAGATTTCTTCTCGATATCGAGTATATCGAGCATTTTAGATACGTGGTTAGGGACAAAGATGACAGCATGCGCGACAAAACCATTGCTCACTTTCACCCGATGATTTTATTCGTTTCCCGTGATTTTTTTGTCATGGAAAATGTCACATCGCATACGGTTAATTGACGTTTCACAAAAAAGAAGTCGCTAGCGATCATGGCACGTCTATTAAACCGCCATTGTGTCGATTTGCCAATTGTTAAACAATCCATGGTTACAGAATTGCTCGAACCGAATGTACATACATGATTGCGATTCATCTTGGGGTGGCAAAAAAAAAGGAAAAAAAGAAGAAAAAAGGATAAAAGGATAAGAAAATATAAAAATTTTTTTGCCAAATTAGAAAATATAAATTTATCACCGTTGAATGTTAGTATTAATTTATTGAAACACTGATATAAATATACACAAGACAATTTTTTTTGTTGTTATCTCTGTGATATTTTAAATAGATTTTATACGAAAATTTTGCGAGCTAGGTAACGAAATTCGCTCGACAAATTGCGACCAACGTTAATGTTACGAATGAATTTAAATTCTTCTTCTATATCGTATCGTGATTGATAATCGTTTACGTGCATACTTGTGTTTCGATTTATGTCGATAAAATATCTTATCTAACGTCAAATCATATGTACTACATACATAGTTTAACTGTTACGTATATATAACATATATATATATATATATAAAATACAATCGGAACATGTATAGTATTAAACTATAGTATTTAAAGTATTAAAGTAGATTCGATAGAATTTTTTTTCTCAAATATTGAAATATCAATAATACAATTTATAATACTTTATGGTCAAGGAACTTACACATTTTTTTTTTATATATATATAAAAAATCATGCTTATTATTGCAATAACAATAACACTCAAAATAAATTTTTTGTTCTATATATATATATATGTATGTTCGTGTGTATACGTATATGTATGTGTGTATGTATGTATATGTGTATATATATATATATATATTATTATTATAAAATTTAAATATTTTTTTTTTTAATACAATATTTTTAAATATCGATTACGCAGTTTATAAATAAATTTTAAAAAGTCTACTCATTAACTTACAAATAAGTTAAACAAGTAGTAAATATAAGGTAGAAACAAAAGATATGATTTTAAAAAACAATAGTTCGTATATGTATAAATACGCGCAAAATTCAACGAACGATGAACGATGGATTCCATTTAGAGAGAACGTGTTGTTATTCGCGCATAAAATACACGGGACGTGAATTACTTATAATTTCAAATCTTTTTGCACATTGTATATTGTCTCAGCCGATTTTTGCAAAAGGTACATCTCCTCGTCCGTTAAGCTTTGTTGGATGATAGTGTTGACACCGTTTTCACCCAGTGTACACGGCAAAGACAGGAACACGTCATCTTTGATTCCATGTATACCCTGAAAAAAGCATTGCGCGTAAAATATAAATATAATATAAAACAATTTTTTTTTTTTTTTTTTTTTTTTTTTTCAAACGTCTAAACATTACAGTTATTTTGTAATCCGCTACACGCGATAAGTTTGTGTAAGAATCGCAAGAGTTATCGACTTACGGTAACCAGGGTAGCTACGGCATGAACTTGTTGCGAGTTTCGCAATATGGAGGAGACGATTTGGGCAGCGCTCAGGCCAATGGCCCACGATGTGTAACCCTTTAGCTTGATAACTTCGTAAGCGGATCCAACGACCTTTTTATATATCTCATTCCAATTTTCCTTGTCATCATCCGTGCCAACAGTTTCGTCCAGATCGCGCAATCTCACTCCAGCGATGTTCACTCCCGACCATACCGGTACTGAAGAGAACGTATAAATATCATATCAAAGAAAGAAACATAAGAAACACGCGCGTTTCACTCGTGGCTCGCGTGCATTTAAACAAATTTCAAGAATGATCTCTCGTTATAACGCGATTCGGTTTCGATCCGATACGACGATCGATCGATCAGTCGTATCAAAGGAAAATCAATTTTGAAAGAAAATGCGTACCACACGTGTCTCCGTGCTCCCCGATCATCCAACCGTGGCACGATGTAGGGGCGACTTTCAATTTCTCGGACAAGAGGAAGCGGAATCGGGCCGAGTCCAAATTGGTGCCACTCCCGATCACTTGATTCTTTGGAAGACCAGAAAGCTTCCACGCAACGTAGGTAAGAATGTCGACCGGATTCGAGACGATAAGAAGGATCGTGTTCGGACTATATTTCACTAATTCGGGAATAATCTTTTTGAAAATATCCGTGTTTCTTTGAACGAGATCGAGCCTCGTCTCGCCTTCCTTTTGACGAGCACCAGCGGTCACTATGCACACGCTCGAATTCGCCGTTATGGAATAATCCGTGCTCGCGTTGATTTTCGCGTTCCTCAAGAATGAACTACCGTGTTGCAGATCCAACATCTCTCCCTTCAGTTTGTCTTCCACCATATCGACCAGCGCCAAGTCGCTCGAAATATTCTGCGATAATATGCGGAATAAGATTTTTCAATTTTTCAATTTTATATATATTATATATATATATAAGGAGGAAAATAAAAAACTTACTTTTGCTAAAAGACTGATGGTACAAGCCATACCGACGTTACCTACACCGACCACGGTCACTTTGTGCGAACTCGTGGGAACCGGATCCATCACTGTGTTTAACAGTTTACTTCTCAATGTTGCCATTATTCTATAAACAGTTGAATAGGATCGTTTAGTTTAAGCATTTTGTTTCATTCGTCTCTAAATATATTTAACTGTTTTACGTATTTTCGTCGAGAAAGGTCAAAAAGGTCACGGAAAACGTTTACGTTATTGCGTAAAAAATTCAAATTTTTTTTATACAAATATGTCTTAACACGATTCTTTAAAACATATTTTTTATATATCGCGATTTAATTTTTCATATTTGTTCTTTTACTTAGGAATTTCTCGAACACGAATATTCCACGAAGATCTAGATAAGTTTTTTCCGCGTACTTTTTGTTCTCAGAATTTATGTAAGTTTAGTTATTCGACAGAAAGAAAATAAGAGAATGAAAGAGAATAAAAGAATAACGACAATATATACATAGATTGATCATAAAGTGAAAAGATAGAAAGAAAAAAAAAAACATCGTTACTATCTACTGGTATATTAAATAAAGCAGAAATGAAATTTTTTTGCAACTTTTTTCGCTTCAACGAAAAATTAAGAAGCAAAAATTTCGCTAGTTTGTAAAATTATATTACTTGATTGTACTACTACACTCGTATACACGAATGAAACGTTAATAATATAGTATGAGTAATACGCAAGCTCGTAAGATGCCACTAGCAGTACGTTAACCGGTGTTCGATAGATACGCTGCAAGAGTGCGGATTACGTACAAAGCAACTATTCAAATAAATCAAATTCAAATTCAAACTGCAAAAGAAAGAACAGAGAGAAAAGATTTGAATAGCCATCACCGAAAGAAAGCATTAGCAAGATGAGGTTTAAATTTCTTAAATGAACACCATCGAATCGAATAATTCTCGTAATTGCATCTTGACCTAGTTTCTTCTATGGGTATTCCACATAGCTTAACACATCCTTATACGTCGCGTTTATACACACTTATGATTTCGTGACGCGATTGTAATGAAAAAAAAAAAAAAAAAAGAAAGAAAAAAGAAAAATAAACGTATGTACACTAACCTCATGATTACTTTAAGAAAGATACAAAGCAAAGAAAAAGAATGAAGCAAACACCAAATTTATTTGGACGGTTTACCAGCCGTTCTTTCTTCCGATCCGTACGACTGCTCCCAGACTTCTGTTTGCTAAGGTGACCTTGTCCCCGCTTTTTATACCTCCCATAGACTTCGGTCGACGTATTGGGGTCTAGCAAAATCGGGGATTTGGCCAAGTATTGCCGGAACGATAAAATTTGCGTTCGGTTTTCCGACAAATTTTCACCATGACCCCATATCACGTGTCGATAATACTTGTACACATGCCGCATGGACGTTATTTCGAATCCATAATCGGTAATACATAACCTGGGTGGTGATGCACGGCGAAGCACGTACGTCGCGGCATACATTTTCGAAACTACGAGGTATGATTGTTGCGCACGCGTAAAATGACGCAACGTGCGTTCCCTTCCGTGAAATAAAGAACGTTTATCGATCTGTGCTGTACTTTCTTTTCGATCCCCACCGTGCCTGTCAACAAAAATCAGCCCGCAGGATGAGTTTCGTTTTCACCGACTAAAAATACATTCTACGATTCGTGGGGTTCGTGGAATGCTAGCTAAACGCTGGATACGATCATTTTATTTCGATCGAGCGTTAAATTTATCTCGATCGAGTTTTGTAATATTTTTTAAAAAACTAATTTCGAATACATTTTTTTCTTTTTTTAAATTTCTTAATCGATTTATTAAGTTTTTAATAAAAGAAGGAATTTTAAAACTATTCCAAATCATTATTAATCGTCAATTTTTAAAAAATTTTTTTTCCTTTTTTATTTAAATAAGAGAAAATTAATTTGGATATTATGATTTTTGTTAAAATTTGTCAATATGATTCTTATATATGAAGATCTCTATATTATATATATATATGGATCTTGATATAACGAATTAATTAATTAGTTTAATTTAATTTTGTCATCTATGTGCATGATTCATGCAACAGAAATTTTTAATTTTTTTTTCTTTTTTCACTCTTTATCGTTGTCCGTTAATAGATAATGCAAAGAGTGATATCACTTTCGAACGATTATGATATAGTTTTAATGGGTGTGGAATTTACATACCAGTTGAATTAAATGACCATTACTCAATCGTATCGGATAACCTCTACAGCAGGAACTTCCGAAAAGAACGAGAAAAATTGTCGATCGATATTTTCAACAATTCATCTGCGAAATTAGATCCAATTCAAACGAGTGACTTTTAAATTTTTATAGATATGTGAACGGTTATATGATTCAGATTTTTATTTCAATGATGCGATGCACACGTTTGTGTGCTAAAAAAAGATACCAAATTATCGTTGCAAATCTGCAACGACATTGCGTGCATTTAGCTTTTGTTTCATACTTTCATTTTTTTCCCCTCCCGAATATGTTTATATTCGATACATTCGATATACAATAAAAAAAAAAAAAAGAAAAACATTTCTTTCTTCAACAAACAATAGAAAGTTTAATATAAATATATATATAGTGTTATCGATGAATGAACATTGTAGAATCGAATTGTGATTGGCTAATAAAAAAAAAATTCAATTATATTACCAAGATTTTATTCAATATTATCTGACGCAATAATCTCGTCGATAACAGCTATCGACGTATTTCGCGACGCTAACTTCCCGGTAACGAATGAAATTTCGGCTGAATCATAATTCAGGAATACCGCGACAAATGCATTCGAGAATGACGCAACGAAGCTATGGTTCTACGTGATCACAGACACCTTTTCATCATCCTACTCTTTTCCTCTTGCGATCGTTCTCCTTTTTCTCCTCGCGTAAACCTAATATTACATACCACGTATGTTAATCGGCGAGATACTAGTCATTGTTTAAAAATGCTCTGTCAAACGTACGAACATGTGCACGTATATATATATTTATATATAAAAAGAAATCACAATTTATTTTTACAATACATACTAAACGAAAACTGTAGTAAGAGGAAGTTTACTATATCCCTAAGAAAAATATAAAATGCGTAAGATATCGTTCGTGTTTCCTAATTTGTTTACATTAAGCCGGTTTTTTATCTCAGACCTTCAATTTCTTCCACGTTTTATCGTGATTTAATCGGAAATAGACGGGATGAAAGGTTATTACACAAAGATATTGCGTTTTTGCAATTGCCCTTTATACGCTTGGCATTGAAGGAGGGGGGGAAAAAAGTGCTCGTGGATGAAATTGACGCTCTCTGAATAACGGAGCCGCCATCCCGTAATTACAACCATTTATATCGCCATAGCTCGCGCGTTTCATTCCCTCTATACGGGCGAATAAACCGAAGAGAAATTTAATAGAAAAGCCGAGCTTTTGAATTTGCTTCAACGCGCTTGGTATTTTTATTCTTTTTACGGTGTGAAAGTTAAATTGGCAATGCATAACTGTTATGTCATCAAACGGCGTATAGTTGCATAAGCAGCTTGTATCAAGCGATGGCCCATGGATATAATAATCGAGTAGGTAGGGGTAGTTGGAGATATGATTATTATCGTAACTGTAAAAAAGGTGCACAATATTGGACAAAGTAATTAATGATAATAGATTATAGCGTAATATACATATATTATTCTTCAAAGTTTTGGTTTGATAACTAATTAAGATTGTTTGAAAGTAATTAGAATTCTTTAAATAATTAGAAATTATATTTTGTTTAATCATCCAGTATGTATTTACAAAAGAAAAAGCTATAGTGGGAGAATTATTATCGATGTTTACAATTCGACATATTTTTAAAGAGGTAATTCGAGATTTATGAAATACAATTAAAATTTATTCGATGCTTTTATATTTGCGATCGAAAACGCAGTTCTCTAAACTTCTCACCAATCCTTCCCTTCTATCTTCTTCATCCCCTCATTTTCTGACCTGCTTCCTCCCCATTTTTCTGGTTTCTATCGTAAGGAACAGGTTTACTAGTTGTTAGATTATCAAAGGGGTTCACTCCTTGGATAGATTTCTTCTGATTTACAAATGCAATTTTTCCTTCCTTTTCTTTCGCTTTTAGATAGAGAGTTTGTTTTTCACCGGCTGCGTTGAACCGATTGATCGATCTTGAGCATCGTCTGTTCAATGATTTGACTCCATCTCGATTATTATTTGGAAAAATTTCTCAACTATGAAAATGCTAATGCTTGGAGTTATGTTGCGTAGGAGGGCGTAAATTTGTTGAATTTTTCAATAATTTCCATTAATTGAAAACTACTTTTAATAAAGAAAACTGCTAATAGAACTGCGAAGCTATTTAAAATTCATTTATTACTAGGAATTTATTACGAGTGTAATACGATGATAATCGAGTAAGAAACTAATTTAGTGGGAATTTTTATTGATTTTTAAAATAATAAAGGTTGGTCAATTTGTGAACAATACATCGTTTGATTATTACACGCTTAACTTTGCCATAAAATTCGTAGTTAAACATCAACTTTCTTAATGATATATTAAAATTGCATCATCGCGCATCTATCGTTCACTGCGACAAAGACGTATGTAATGTTTTTTAAATATCAACAATTGGCCTGTAATATCGTAATTAATAAATAAATTCCTTTAAAGAGGTTATATATGAAAATATATAAAAGAATATGCACAAGTATAATTTTAATTTTGGTTTAACTAGAGAAGAAACGAAATCTCGATATCAAGATTCTTGAAAAATTATCATACAGATCATCTATGCGAACGTATATAATCTCACGACATTACCTTCTACGTCTAATTGTCTTTTCCCCTACGGCTATCGATCGTAGAGGCTCAACATTAATCCGCAATCAAAAGATCGTGATCTTTGAGCAAGACTGTTCCTCGTAAAAAATTTTTATCTCTTTCAAATTCAAATTATTACATCTAAACGTCTTTAAATATAGTTTATCCTCTTTCAACGATTCAGAAATCTCATGTTTCATCATGTTTTATAATATTTTACTTGGGATAATTCTTTAATTATCTCTTAGAAAGTAGCGTTCTCGAAACAAATTTCTTCCAATCGATGATAATACGTTACATTTTATCGCAATTATTTTACAACGTGACATAGCATAATAATTCCTTCTCCTCGACTTTAATAGCTAATTAATAGAAAATCGATCCATGATTTTATCCGTTAAATCGCGATAAATTAATCGATTGCGCGAAACCAATCGTCCGATTAAACTCAGATTCGAAGAAATGATATTTTTTTCTCTCGATCGAATATCGCGCTTTAAGAGTCGAAAATCGGACTTTGTAAATCTTGCCGGATTCAGCGGTTGCTAATTACATCTCGATTCATCGAACCGCCGAGATCTCGATTAATTGCGTGCCGCGTCGAACAAATTGTAAAAGTTCGCCTTTTTTTTTTTTTTTTTTTTTTTTTTTTTTCTCGAACCGTGCAAATGCTTGCCACCGAATACCTGGCAACCGTTCATTTCGCGATCGCCGCAACGGGGAACGAGCGAACAAGGGGAAGGAGAGAAAAAAGAAACGGCCGTTTCAATTTTAAAAGGGCAAATACAAATTGCTCCTGCGTATAATCTCTCGGTGAACAACTTGGGCGGAGATCGTACAATGTTACGTTTTTGTCGAGAGATCCGGATTGCCTGTGAGAATATTTTCTTGCCAGCGCACACGTGTTGGTAAATTTACCGAGGCGAATTTTTATTTGGATTATTACTTCTATACCGAGTTTATATCCGATCTCGTGAAAGAGTTTTAAGAAAGTAAAAAAAAAAAAAATCCGTTCTGAAATTTCTTCTTATTGCGAAACGATTAATTTTAACGAAATTGTAAAGTATAGTATTCCTTGAAACCTTTTTTTTCTTTTTTTTCTTTCGAAATAGCCGTTTCAATTTTAATTTAATTTCGTGGTAACGAACATGACCAATGAATCTTCTTTAAACTATGGAATGCTTATTTCGATAATGAAATCGCTCAATAATTTTAATTATTAAAATATATCAATTAATGTACGTATATGTAAGGGATGGACGATTCTTACATTTCTCTTATTCAATTTAATAATCTAACAAAATCGAATTGCGGATAATTATTTATTTCGGATAGCAGGTCGAAGGTAAGGTTAAGTAATTTGTTACATTTTTTCCAATTCGATATTTAAAAATACGCGAAAAACATTTTGATGGATGAAAAATTTAATTTCATAACTGAATCGCCGTAGGATCGAATAATTTTAACGTTTTGCAATTCGATTTAATATCGATGAGAGTAAAATAAACGCGATTACGTATAAATTACGTACAACACTTACCTTACCAACCATTACCTTATTACCTTCCACGTTACGTTCATCCATTATACGCGGGTGGTCGTAGGCCGGTGAACCGCAGCGTTAAAAGATGCATTCACGCGTGCAAAAAAATAAAGAACTAGGAGGAAGAGAATAAGTGGCTCCGAACTCGGTGAACTCGACAAGTGATTCCCCCCTCCCGTAACTATAAATAAATGCCGGTGGGACGAGTTCTCTCGCTCGTAAATCTGAAATCGAGGCATAATCGACGCGCGAACTGGAATCCGGCCTTCTCGCGATCCGTTGCGCGATACGTTCTCGCGTTATACCGTCGGTAAGGCGGGACCCGATCGTCCACCATCGATAATCTAGAATCCTGTAATGAATCAATCGCGCAGTCAATAGCCACGTATGCATCGGTAAGAAATTACTCGAATTACTACCCCTAACCTTATCATCTTGGCCGCGATTCACCTCAGAGACGGTAATTTCGCGAGCATGCGATTCACGACTGGTTATAAACATTGTTGTTCCACGTCGAATTAATAAAATACGATAATCGAGCGAAGGAAACGTATAAATTATTTATGGGAACGTTATCGATTAACCGAGATAGATGGAAAGAGATACACTCGCACGAGCGGGATACCGAGTTGAGACACGAGATACAGATTTGGTAATTGAAAAAACGACGGGATTACGACAGATTTTTTTTTTTTTTTCACGAAGAAATATTAAAGTACGATTATGAGCAATTCGATGAAGCGGAATCGTTATCGTTGTACATTCGAAATAAACGTGTTCTACAATTTCTGTATTGTGAAAACTAGTTATCGTTGAACTTCGATTCGAAGCAGCAAGGAATGGATCTTGAAAAACGTGATTATCGTCCTACGTTATCGCGTTTAACTTTGAGACTTTTTTTTTTTTTTTTTTTTTGAGCAATAGATTTTCGTCCATCGTTGTAAAGTTCAATAACACGACGAAGATAAAAGGGTAAAAAGTTGAATCAACTCTACTTTCGCGTTTCTTCATCGGTTAAAGGTTAAGGTATAGAAACAATTTTCCCTATCGAACGATTATATTCGCGATCGATTTTAATCTTTTTCTGCGATTTCGATAGACCCGCAGAGGTCACGACTTCGATCACGTATCGTATTATAGGGATGCAACCGCGTTCATCTCTGTACCTACGATACATTATTGCCGTATAGATAATTACATTTGCGGACGTGTGTATCCGTAAGAATTCGATTAGTCTTTTCTTTTATTCTTTTCCAAGGGATTGTACGATCCTATCACGAATCCACCATCCAGATCGATTACGTTCATAATCGACGATCCACGACATACTCGTAGATACGTTATTTCACGTGATTAAATAAATCGGATATTTATATTAGATATTCGAATCGTAGAATCGTTTTACACGATCGAAAAGAAAGACTTTTTTTTATTACATCTGATATATCGACGTACAGGTAATGTCGTCGTGTTTTTAGTTGAATTCGAGGGGAGAAGGTCTATTCGACCATTCGGTACGATACGAAAAGGTTCGATCTATAAATCTTGATTAATCTCGCGGTTCAGAGAGAATCGTTCGGCCGTTTGTTCGGCCCAGATTAAAAAATATCGAGGATAATTTTCCTCGTTCCATTTTATCGCGCGGACAAGTGTGACGAGAAACGAGTTTTTGCGGGGCGAAAACGCTCGGATCGGGACAGTTTCGGACAATTGGACGGTATTGGCGTGATTTTCTCCCATTAATCTTCGCTCGACAATTAACCGGGTACAGGGCTATTAATTACAATCAACGTTATCTCGCGCGCGCGCGCTGCACCGATATACGACGTTTAATCTCGCGCTCGATGGAAACCACCGAATTCACTACTCCACGTTCAGCTGTCTAACTGGATTAACGTTTCAACGATTTTCGAACTCTCGAACGCCTCGACAAGAGCGAACGCTGGAGAAAGGAAAGAAACGAAAGAGGAGAGAAACGTTTCCCTAACGTGTCGTACTCCGGTAATTGATTCTCGTTCTGTCCGATAGATGCCGTGGTTATGAAGATTTTTTTCAAGAATCTTTTTCGTGCCATCGTTCTCGCGTCGAAACGAGTCACTTACTTTATTTCGTAAGAAAATGTAGAGAATTGAGTTTCCTAAAATCAAAGACAATCGAAACATCAAACGTTTAATTATACAATATTCGTTACACATTACTTGTCATGGTGTATACGTTTGATTCAAAGAGGTAACGAGATGATATCTAATCTATTTCAAAAATAATAATCTCTTCAAATTCTTTTCCATCGCCAATTTTTCGAAATCTCTATCTCCCCATCCATCGACCCATCGTGGACATCGAGTAGGATTTTTAAATTTTCGAAAAAGTTGAAACGAAAGGAAAATGGAGGGAAGGAACAACCTACTTTTTATCTTCCTTACCTTCCACTTCTTCCCCCTTGACCAGTCGCCTCTTTCGAAGGATTAGCGACGCGCCTGGTCGATTGATTCACGGCCCCGCTGGTGAACAGGGAATCAGGACGGATAAGGTGGTAAAAAGCGGGGAGAAGGAGCGAGAAAGCCGGAGGAAGATGGAAACAACGGGGCAGAGTCGGGGCGAAGGAGGGTTGAGTGCTGCACTCCCCCTCCCTCTCCCCTCCTGGAAGATCGAGGGAGAGGAATACGGGTCCGTTGATTAGCAGATATCTTAATTACCGATTGGCCGCGCGGGCTAATTAAATCGTAACTCAATCAAGGGGCGACCCTATCCCTCGCACCGCTCGTCCACCGCGTCGAGCGAGCGCTTGAAGAGCGTCGTGCACGGTTGCGTGAGCGATCGGATATCGCACGGGGTCCCCTTTTCTTTTTAAAAATCGGCGGCGCGAAATAAAAAGCAGGGTAATCAGCGTTACCCACCGCGACGTTTCCTCCCTCTTTTTCCCGAGGATTATGAATTTTTCATTTCTCGCGCGTATTGACGAGGGTAATTAATATCGAGACTCGTTATTATTCGCGTGGTTAGATCCGTAATCGCGATATAAATTACGCGGCCGAGGCGCGTGATCGAGATAATAGAGAAAAATGGGGTTCGGTCGGAAAGAGGAGAGAAGAGAAGGGTCGAGAAGATGAAGACGTTATTAGCGTGGCTTCCAGCTGCAGGAAATCTTTTATCTCTCTCTCTCACTCCGTCGTAACGGGCATTCGTTAGCATGGATAATGAATCACCGCGCTCCTGTCGCGCGAGAGAACGACGAAAAGAATTGGTGGTGGTTGGCCGTCGCGACGACAACGGGTCGCGGTTTCGGGGCGGAACGAGGGGAGAGAGTTGGGGAGGGGGCCATTAAAAGCAGCGGGTATCCAAGCCCGGCTCCGTTTCACGCGCTTTTTCCACCTTAGTTAGCCGGTTGCTCGACGAAATTTCGACTCCGTAATCGTGGTAATGAATCACCGGCCGATTATTTCGTACCGAACCTTATACACGCTGCCTCGCTGAATTCCATGAATAAATTTCTTTTTCTGGCCATCTGTGGCTTAAGTAGGAACCGTTGTCGGATTCGTTATTGTACGACTTTATCGGAGGGATAGGAGGCGGAGAAAGAGGGAAAAGCTCGGCTATCGAGGAATCTTGCGACAGATCGTGCGACCTCGAAACCGGCGTTCGTTGTATTTGCAATAGCGTTTCGTTTAATTAATTATACGCAGAGTCTTTAATCTCGACGAAATCGTCACGATTTATAACGCTCGTTCTATTGTATAGAGAGTTAATTGTATTTTCAATTTTATTATTGTATCAACTTTCTAATTTTTCACATAAAAGCTGAGCGTGAAATTTGAAATATTCTCGATAGAAGAAGAAGAAGAAGAAGAGGAGGAGGAGTAACTTATTCCAAACTATTGAGAATCGATTTTTGAGTCTCGAAAATGGTTCGACACGACGTCTCCGTGAGTTCTTGCTCCTCCGGTGTATACGGGTGACGAAGAAGCGTCTCTATGCCGTTTCTGCCTACTATGCACGGCAGGGACATGTAAACGTCTTTCTCGAGACCGTGCCGACAACCCTGGTTACGAATAACCAGACATAATGAATATCAAATGGAACAAAAAAAAAAAAAAAAAAAAAAAAAGATACAATTGATTTCCTTACCTTCAAGTAGGTGGAAACCGTGACGCAGATGCAAGTATTTCGTACGATGGCGTCGACGACCTCGGCGGCGCAGATACCCATCCCCCAGCACCGATACCCTTTCCTCGAGATAAGATCGTTGTCGCAATCGATTACTTTCGCGTGCAGCTCGCCCCAAGATTCCGGATCCGCTTTAGTACCGATGTCTTTGTTTATGTCCTTCAGCTTGATCCCCATCACCGTCACGGCAGACCAGATCGGCACTGTTCCCGCGTTATTTCATAAATTTTTCGCGGAACGATATACGAATAACTCGTATGCTTTGTTTGTTCATTTATTTATTTATTTATTTATTTATTACCAGACGTGGGTCCGTTCTCGCAAATTACGGAGGCCTGAACCGAGCTCGCCGAAATTCCAAGTTTCTGCGCGATGAAGTATTGAAACCTACAGCTGTCCAAAAATGTGCCCAGTCCCACCACGCGATGCGGTGGGAAGCCCGAGAGCTTCATGGCTGCGTACGACAGTATGTCGACTGAAATTGATTGATTTTCGTGCGTAAAAAAAGGGGAAGGAAAAAGATCGGCGAAAAGAGAAACGTTACCTGGAGCCGTCACGATCAAAAGTATACTGTTGGGCGCGTACTTGCACACTTTCGGTATAACGTCCTTGAAGATGTTCAAATTTTGCTCCAACAAAGTGCTCGGATCTTGTTCGTTAGTCGATCTATCACCGATCGTGATCACGCACACCGTCGCGTCTCTGGCCAGCGAGTAATCTGGGGAAACGGTCGAAATGCCTTTCCATTTTGCCGTCCACTTTGTCCCCCCCTCCTTCGAAACGGAATAAAAGAAAAGAGAAATATTTATCTTCGCTCGTACCTTTGGTACCGATGATCTTCGGGTTGCCGAGGAATGCAGCGCCATGGCTGATGTCTTCCGCCTCTGCTTTCGCCAATTCCTCGTTCACGTCTATGAACACCAGCTCGGAGGCGAGCCGCTGCAACGTCGTAAAGGGAGTAATTAACTAGCCGATATAATAGGCTAGCCGAAGGGCCCAAAGTTATTACGCGATCGATCCCTTAATGCGCTCGATCGTTAGGATCCGATCGCCTCGCGTAACGCGAATTCCACTCGATTTTTCACTCGACCGGCGATAATTATTCCTCCCTCCTTTTTTTATTTTCCTATTTTTCGCGATCTCACGACTCGATCAGCAGCGAGGTAATAAGAAAAGGAGAACGGCTTTGTTCGCGCATCAAATGGGAGAGAGATGTCAGGAGGCTTGGAACGTAAAGGGTATACGTAAAATCTCGTTTCCTACGGTTGGTAATCGATGTTCTTCCCCTATCGTCCAACTATAATTTCGATGTGGAAATTTGTCGATCGCGCCCTCTCTTTCCTTCTTTCAACTCGATAATTTCTCTTGATCGCTCCTCTAATTGATCGTTGCAATATCGGAGTTTTCCTAGCTTTCTAAACGCCACCAGATGGACGAATTTCTCTCCGACAGATGGTAGTTTCACGCGTTAAGACGAACTCGCGGCTACCAGCAGAAGCGGCTTCTTAATAATATTACGTTACGCCCTTGTGCTTCCAATATGTTATTGTACACCGCTTAATCACCATACTTCGTCAAGCATGACTTCCGCACCATGCATAATATCCCAGCTGATGAAGTTTCACTCTCTTCTCAACTCTCGCGTAATACCCTCGCGTATCGCGCGACGATATTGACTCCGGGGTAATTAACTCGAAAAAAAACCCTGTGTACTTTGTAACGAGATTTTTTAATAAAGGCACGATCGAGGGGACGAGTCATCAACGCTTCCTTACGAAACGACGCGTGTCCTCGATTTGCTCCTCTCCTATGTCGCTTTTAAACTCGCAAGGTTCTAGGTTTACCTCCAGCCAAGGCAACGTTTCGTCCTTCCTTCTCGTTCTCGCTTTGGGCACAGGTGCGATACTCCGCGAATTTTATTATTCCTCCAATTTTTTTTCACCTCAAACCGATTAAAGTTTCTCGATCTTTTTTCGCGACGAATATTTTCTATACCAATTATCCTATCTATATCAAGACACTTTTCAATTATTATGCGCGCGTTTTTTTTTCTTTTTCTAGATCGCGAAACGAATCACGGGGACGAGAGACTAGCATAAAAGCTTTTCACCATCGTCACCACCGTCCCCGCGAGATGGTTTGTACGATTTAATGCGGCTCGACAGACATGACGCGTAACAACGAGTCGAGCAGCGGCTAGAACAAGAAGAAGAAGAAGAAGAAGAGGAGGAGGAGGAGGACGAGAAGAGTCTTAAGCAGGTATGTACCACTACTACTACCGACCGAGCTGGGCGTAGCGTGCTCGCAAGGTGGACGATAAACCGTGGAGATGGTACTCCGCGATCATCTCGTTGATGCGATCTGTCGAGGATCAACCGCCACGATTCACCGCCTCTCCCCCCCCCTCTCTCTCTCTTTCTCGCATTCTCTTTTCGCTTTCACCTTTTTCCTTGTCCGTCCCCTCCTCGTTCATCCTCCAAGATTTCGGGTGACGGTTAACGAGTTCGATGCCTCGTATAAAGGAGACCCCTCAACAGACTTTGTTACTTTGTCTCGTGGGGAGAATTATAACGCTGACGGGTTCGAACCCGGTATCTCTATGCTAGGACCATAATTATGGATCTTGATGACAGACCGAAATAGTAGAAAAATAGTAGAAATAGAGAGATTAATAAAATTGCTGAAATTAATATTACTATAATAAAATATATTATGATATAAATAATTATATATATTAAATAATTAAATTTTTTAATTATGGAAATTAAATGTAATAGTAGTTATACTATATATATATATATAAGAAAATAGTAAAATTTATTGAATAATTATATTTTTATAGTAATTAAATTAATATATAAATAAATGTATAAAGAAATAATGAAATTGCATCAACGAAATGTCAGTATCAAATTGCTAATTCAAAATTAAGAAGAACGACGTGGTCGCTATTAGGAACTCGGTCGTGTACAAATGGTTCCACGAGGGGAGGGGGCTTCATTACCGTTCCCCACCGTTCATCCCCTTTCTCCCGTTTCCACGAGAAAGGGGATTCTCCACCTCTTTCCATTCGCGATTCGATCGAGGAGCGAAAGGGATGAAATAAAGACGAGATAAATAGAGACTCGAATGATACAAATTAGCGGGAGAAAATTGCGTTAACGCAACGCTGCCTCTTAATGGACGTCCCGGTTAGTTACGCGCAACGAGAGAGCACGAAAACGTTACACTCCGTGGAACAGCGAAACGATTCGTAATGACAGCGGTATTCGCATCGACAAAGGAGGGCGGCCTTTTCAATTTTAAACAGCCGCTTCCGTGGGCAAAAGCGGTGAAGGTCGTCGTCTCTCGAGAAACGAGACAAGGCCTTCGCGCCTCCTCTCTCTCTCCCTCCCCCTTCGGACGAGGGGAACGCGATAAGGGTTGGGTGTCCTCGCAGAGTATGGATTTCAACGATTCCTCCTCCGGTGACTGGCATAAATCAGCGCCACGGCCATCTTGCGGGGGCGTCCTACGTGTAAATGCTCGCGTTACGATCCGATAACGAGCGAAAGGAAGCGCGTCCCTCGCCTCCTCTCTCTCCCCCTCATTCTTCCCTCCTCCGCTCTTTCGGAGGATCATTTGCATAATATCCCTCTTTCATCCTCGCTAACGAGCCTACATTCAGCCCTCGTTCCTACGCAAACGCATCCTTTCAGACACATCCTTCCACTTTTCGTCCTTTTGTCGTCCAATGGGAAAACGCGGTAGATTTAGCGGTAGTGTGCCTGCCGAGTGAGTGATTTTTTTTCTTTCTTTCTTTACGCATCGTTGTATTAAATATTGTATTAAATACAGGTACAGGTTTGGGCTGTTCGTTGGAAACGTTTCGTTTCTCTTTTGGAAAGTAAAATTTAGACACGAGGGAGGGGGAAGAAGACGAAATAATATCAGGTTAGAGATATATAGGATGTAAAAATTTGGGACAAACCTTGAAGAGGATTGCGATTCCGATGGCCACGCCGGTATAACCGCTGCCGACGATGACGATTTTAACGCGATGCCCATCCACGAAATCTTCCGGCTGCTTGGTGAGCAAAAACGTTGTCGTGTTCCAGGCGGTGTCGAGTAACTTCTTTTTGGGCACGGACATGGTTAACGAACGCGATACTCACGAGTCAGGTGTAACATCCCGGGGATTCGATCGAGTCGAAAACAGAAATTAGATCGGAAAATCTGGAATATCTCTACAATACTCTGTAAATTTCGTCTCCATCAAGATAAAACAACAAAAGTGACTGTCAAACGTTCTTCATCCTTTCGCCCGAAGTTGGCCGCTCGCGTAGCCAACAAACGTTTCGTCCGCGATCCTATCGAGATTAAAATTGAAATATTCGAAAGGTATCGATTTTCGAAAATTTCTTCTATCGGTCCCTCTCGATACCGATATATTCCGATCAAATCGATGGACAGCTGGCGCATATGGGAGATATACGCCAATTTCAATTTCCGCTCACACGAGAACGCCCGATATTCCGAGATCCGGCACGAATATCAAATTGCCCGAATATCCAACGTTGCCGCAATATCCATTTCCTTCCTTCCTCTCTCGCTATTCTACCTTTCGTCCAACACCAATCTTCTCCCTCCGCCCGTCCCTCTTCCAATTTGATTTGGAGAAAAAGGAAAACGGAGGGAAATACAGGAAGAGGAGTCATCGTTCGCGTTTTATTATTGGTCGTCGAGCGAATCAAAGGAAAAACGCGAGGTGACAAAACAACGCAACGTTGGGCGATTCGTAATAAATCGGAACATGCACGAAACATGTTCGAAACGTGTTCTCGATCTTCGTTTGGACGCGAGGATGCATCGGCAGACGCCACGAATAGCTCGTAACTGCGGACGATCGGCCGATCGTTGGGGGGGGACGCGATTAGTTTTCTAGGAAGTCGATTCCTCTACTGTCATTTATTATACACCGATCGACTATATAGCAGTATACACAGAGAAGAACCGGTCGCCAGATGCGCGCGCTCGTTATCGATCAAGACGCCTTCTAAAATTGCCGTGCAATTTCCGCTAGCGCCTTCCCTTTCTCCCTCCCTCCCTCCTTACTCATTGCTCCGTCTCGTTGTTGTTGTTCTCCTGAAGGATGCCGGACTCCCGCAAAATGTTTCGAATGTTGTCGGCGCACGTCTGCACCGCGGCCTTCTCCTGCTCGCTCAACTTTTGCCGCACGGTGCAGTAGACACCCTCGCGACCGATCACGCAGGGCACGGACATGTACACGTCCTTGTCCGTACCGTGGGCGCAACTCTGTGGAAAACGGGGCACGATAAAGAAAGGAAGGAAGGAGAGTCCCTCTTTCTTTCTCCACTTACGAGAATGTGCGTTGACGCGGGGAGCACGACTTTCGTGTTCCTAACGATCGCGTCGACGATCTCCGTCGTTGAAATGGCCACGCCCCAGCAACACGATCCTTTCTTCTCCTCGAGTTCCTTCCCGCTGAAACCAGGGCGAAATGAGCTCCCACGATCCTCCCCTCCCGACCTAACGACGATCACGCTACTCACACGCTCTTCACGTTCTCCTCGATTTCGTACCACTTCTCGGGATCGTCCTGTTCCCCTATTCTCGAGTTTATGTCCCGAAGTTTCATTCCGCCCACGGAGATGCTCGACCACAGAGGAACTGCAAAAGGGGGAGGGTAGCACCGACTCGATCCATCGAAAGGAGGGAGAAGAGAGATACCAGCCATGTCTCCTTGGGAGCCGATCGTCATGCAACTGACCGAGCTTCGAGCAACGTTCAATCGTCTGCTAACGAAATCTTGAAGCCTGGCGCAGTCGATCAGCGTGCCGATGCCGAGCACGCGGTTCGAAGGGAATCCCGACAGCTTCCACGCGATGTAGGACATCACGTCGGCCGGCCGCGTCACGATCAACAGAACCGATTTTGCCGCGAATCTCGCTATGGCCGGTATTATCTTCTTGAACACCTTCAGGTTGTGCTTCACGTTTTGGTTCTCGCCCGGCTGCGTCTCCGGCGTGCAAATTATCACCACGGCCGATTCCTTCACCGTACTGATCTCTGCCGATTCGACCGTCTTTTTAATAAATAAACGACAGATTCCTCCTATTTCGATTTCATTCTCGCTACCAAAAATCCAACTAATAAAAATTTGCAAACAGGCCACTTAATAATAAAGAATTAAACTCGATTTTCCGTAAACGTGGATATGGAATATCGATAACGATAAGAATCAACGTTTTTATCCGAGAATCCATATAATTCGACGGAGAAGAAATGTTTATGCGAATCACGTTCCATCCCAACCGAGATAGGAAAAAGGAGAAAGGAAAGGTTAGAGAAGTCGGGCATCCCTTTCTGGAAATCTTTTCTCGTTCGGTAATAAAGCCATCGGAAGCTGGTTGAATACAAAACGTTACGAAAGGGAATCGAATCTCGTCCCCTTTCCAAGCAAGAGAGAGAGAGACTTTGTTCGTTTGTCGGTTGAGAGATGCGGCGATAACCGCGTACAGTGGAAGACGTAACGTGGAAGAGAATAAGAGGCACCGATTTTAGGTAACACCTCTCTGCTCGAGAGTGTATCGCGAGCGAGATACACCGTAGGAGATAAATTAGTCGGTAAAAACAGCCTGTTCTAGTGTTGTTCCGGTAGTAGCCACTCACCAATTGCGGACGAGATTAAACCGAATCGACGAGGAAGATTACGAAAGGAAACGCGTTCGATTTTTTAGATCGAAGAAAGTTTGGAAGGATTGCAAGATACGCAAGGATTCTTACGTTCTTAAAGAAGTTCTAAAAGAAGCGAAAGAAGGGAAGAAAGAAGAAGAAGAAGAAGAAGAAAGAGAAAAATATGTATCGTGGAGTCGATCGTGGTCGAGATAAATAAGAGAGAGCGGCACGAAATTTACGAGTGGAGCGGTGAAAAGCTCGGGGAAACGCTCGGCGAGACGACCGCGTGTAAGCACGCGGCGATGTAGATGAGCGACGAGATTAAAGGACAGGACCGGAGAGAGAAGGATCTCGAAACCTGTACCGGTCCCAAAAATTCATTCCTTCCCCTTTCGGCAAGGGGGACCGTTGTTTCCGACCCGCCGCACGTCCACGGAAACATCTCTCGATACATCCAAAGATTTCTGGAATTTCGAATTTCCGTCACGGATTTATCGATTTTCCATTTCCACGTTTCCAGGAAATTAAAATGGAGGATTTTGAAGTTTGAAAGAATCGGGGAAAAAGTCATTGGAATAGAAATGTATAACCATGTGTACATAGATGTGTCGAGTACCTGACGTGCCAGTTACCAGTGGGCATCCCAAAAAAAAACCGACGTGTTGAATATCCTCGGCCTCGGCGGAAGCCTTGTTCGCGTCGTGGTCGATCAGGCAGACCTCGCTCGCCATCCTCTAAAGATCACGGGGTATCAGACGGTTGATCGAGCGCCATCGCGATCCGCGCCGATACTAACTCTCATCAGGATCGCGATGGCGCAGGCGATCCCGATCTTCCCTACTCCGACGATCGACACCTTGACGCGATGCGGGTAAACGTCGCAAGGATCCAACTGGGTCGTTATCAACGCGTTCTTCGTCGTGGTCGTGATCGGTGCATCCTCCTGCTGGTTAGATATCGGATACCTTTAAACGCACTTTTCCCGCCTTCGAGATGGAAAAAGTATACATCGAATAGAAATAACGCGATCGAGGGGGAAAGATATCGAGGGCACGCATACATCGTCGCATTCGATGGATTTAACATCGGGTTCAGGCTCGCTCTTCGCTTCCGTCTCGTCCATCTCGATCTAAAAAGCACAAATATATAAACGCGTGCGAAATTAATTTCTTTCCCCGTTTTCACGCGAATTATAAACTCACCGATCGGATCGCCGCTAATTTCACGCAACGAGAGACGGGGCGAATTGGCAGCTACGTCCATCCACGTTATTTGCTCGCCCTCCGGATCGTCGAGGTGGTCGCCGAGGTGTCCCTTGAGCTCTCGTGGCCGAAACGACAGGTAGGGCTGGGGGAGGGGAGAGAAAGATCCGGATCAACCTACGCAACCAACGCAACCGAGTATTCTCTCCTGTATTCTCTTCGTGTTTCAGGCTAATCGCGATACCCGTTACGAAGAAGAAACTCGAAGAAGGGGAAGAAGAGGGAGAAGGGAGGGGAGGGGGATGGAGAAGCGCGGAGAATAACGACGGAAGTTATCCGCGCGGCTCGCTGTAAATTAGCCGCAGGTAGTCTCCCCGGGAGCGCAGGTACATCGTACACCGGATTGTTCATATATTTCTGCCGATGCCCACGCGCGCTCCCATCTCAATGTGTAAAATACATTATTTTCGTGCGTCGATCGAGGAACCACCGTCCTTCCCTGCGTCTTTGTTCGACCGCCGATAATCGGCAGAAAAAAAAAAGTCCTAGAAAAAAAATTTCCTTCTCTTCTTTTCCCTTCGCGTTACATCGTAACAAGACGAAAATTGGCGCGTCGCCAACGCTCGAAGCGACGAGATAGTTCACCATCGGACGTTTCTCGCGTAACCCAACGGTTTACACGTGCGAGCAATTCGCGTTCGGATCCGATGCGAACAAAGAGCGCTCGAACCCTCGTCTCGTTTGCTCTCGATCCCTTCGATAAATTACTCTCTTTCTCTCTTTCTCTTTCTCTCTTTCTCCTTTTGCTCGCGAAGCCGTGGCGTTGCTAGTAGGTTGGGGAGGGAGGGGGGACTTTAACGCGCGTTCGACGATCTTCGAGTGGACACTGTAAGGAAGAGGAAGAGAAAGGCGAGAAAGAGAGAGATAAAAGAGGATAAAAAGAAAGAAGTTTTTTTCGTACGTGGTCGCGAACAACCGCTACCGGACTAACGCGCTACGGACGCATTCAATTTTAACGTTAATAATCGCCGGGAAAAATGACGGAGGCTTAAATACGATCATTCATCAACGGCGATCGATATTGCGAATACGGCTTAACGACGAACGGATAACATCGGTTCCGACTTATTGAATCGCGTCAAATAATATACGAGCCAATAATGTACGAATAGCGTTGCAATTACGGGCCCGTGATCGTATCCAGCGTCGCGATTCGATAATTCGCCGACGATTCCGACCGACATCTCGATTCCCGATCGATTTTTACCGAATTTCTCGCGCCGCGAGATTACTCGGAGGCCGAGATTTCGACGACAAGCGTCGATTTCACGCTCGAAAGGAAGTACGAGTAATTAATTTTTTTTTCTCAACGCTACAACGCTCGACTCGTATCGATGCACGAACGCGTTATTCGCTAAACGGACGGAAAAAACGGACAGAAAGGCGAGGAAGTAATTTAAAGCTTGGCATTTATAGTCGTATAAGCGTGGCAAGTACGATACGCTCCTAGATAATTAATTTCCCGCCTTGATTGATCATCCCCGCGATTTTATCAAGTAACAATAACGATCGCGTAAAATCCTTATCATCACACTGATCCATTTATCACCATCCGTATACCGATTAACGAAACGATCGTACGAAGAAATCGAAACTTCTTAGTATGGAAAGTATAATCGCTATTATTTATTTTACTTTTTTAAGAAAAGATGAAAGAGAGAAGGAAAAGATTAGCGAACGGACGACAATAATAAGCATAGCGTCGGGGGGCATAATTTATGATTAATCGACATGGAAGTAGGGAGAAGGATTTTTTTTTAATTAATCGTCGCGGAAACGACGGACAGTGGACAGCGGGAGAAGAGGTGGAGAATCGTCGGCGATAAAGCAGCGATCGATCGATAACGATGTCTCCTCCTCTCTCTCTCTCTCTCTCTCTCTCAAACGGGTCGCGTCCGAGAGATAGTCCTTGAAGGTTGGTCGTAAGCAACCGATCTTCTGGGTCCCAGTCAACCGATCCAGACACCGCATGCCTCCGGTGCACAATGCTTGGTAGTACCGCAGCTGATACAAGTATGTTCGCCGTGCAACCGGAATTTTAATTGGCTATTTGTTTGTCCGCTACACTTCGCGGCGCTCCTATTGTCCAGCCTGCCGGAGAGGAACGATCACCGCTTCTTCTCCCTTCCTCTCTCCCTCTCTCTCTCCCTCTCTCTCTCTCTCTCTCTCTCTCCTCTCCGCGTGTTCTTCGCTTTTCACCACCGCGGTATTAATCCAGGACTCGAGGAAAGTCTTCTTCTCGAGCGAGGGTCCAATCTCTCTCTTTCTCTCTCTCTCTCTATCTTTCTCTCGCGCGCGCGCAACCTCCTCTCGCAGTCGTGTTTCTCCGCGCGGTCTCTCCCCGTTCTTTTTGCCCCGATCCCTCCCCGCGTTTAGTCGACGTGGCTAGCGCCTCGAGTGAGGTAGGATTTTTTTCTTTTTCCCCCGACGCGACTCGCTCACCCTCGAAACGATGGAACAACGAAGATCGAGACCGGATGAAATTGCAGTTATTACGAGGCGGCGGGGCGGACGAGCGGCCTGCATGTATAATCCCGCGTTGCGTACAGTTCCGCGATACCACTTATCGAGTCATTAAGCGTTGCGCGATGTAATTGCGCGCTTTTTACCGATCCCCCGGCCTCCATCCGCGCATTAATCATCGATACCATCTTCTTTCCGCACCGCGGCCGAATGTCTCAATTTAACGCCGCCGCCACCACCCTCTCCGCTTCTCCTCCCTCCGCTCTCGCTTTCGAGCCGAGAGATCCGAGCCGCGGATTTATCTCCGTCCGGTCTAATTTGGCCGGTGCGCGGCCAAATACGAATTTAATTCGAGCCGTCCACGGCCACTCTAACGCCGTAACGCGGCCTAATAAATTGGCGAGCGACGGGGCCGCGATTCGGTTTAATCGGAGGAGGGGCAAGAATCGAGGAACGCGGCGCGCTTTTTTGCACCCGGTCCAACTTATTCCAATTAAAATCGGTACCTCTATTTTAGGTGGCCGACCCGACCGATCCGTCTCCCAAATAAGCGGCGAAACTCGAAAACTCGTGCCGCTTACGCGTTCGCGACCACCTCTCCACCCGTTCTTTTTTCCCGTCGATCTGTCCCTTCCCTCCCTCCGTTTTAATTAATCTTCGGCTCGGATATCCGTCCGTTTCGGGTGGCGAGAAAGAGAATACGGTTCTCGACGTCCCGATAATTGCACCGTTTATCGGCTTCCCTAAAAATCCGCCGGCCGCGCGCATTTTGCTCGACGACCCACGAAAAAAAGGGGGGGGGGGTCGTCCCCGCTTCGTTTCGATCATCGCTGCCCTCCTCCCCCCGAGGCGCTCCTCTCCTCTCCTTCTCGAAACGAAGGGAGGTTGAGGTGGGCGGCGAGCAGGGACCTCTCTCGTTTCGTTACGCCGTATCGGGAAGGGGCGAGGCCGATGCGCAATTGTTTATGCTCGTGCGTCCCGCCCTGTCGGACGCATCCAACGCGTACTACTACCACGTGTATATATGTAATACGCGCGTACATGGTTGGGGACGAAACCACGGGGCGACGCACACACGCGCGGAAATCCACGTCCTCTCGGTTCCTCTTGGGCGAACGTTATTAATGGCAGGGCCCTCGCTTCGAGTGTCGGCTCCTTGACAATGACGAAGCCTCCACCTCGGGCCCTCGACCGGGGAACGGTCCTGTTTCGGACGCGACGGAGGCGTCTCGACGTCCCTCTCGAGGAGAGGAAAGGGCCGAGGTTCGTTCGAAGAAGAAGAAGAAGAAGAAGAAGAAGAAGAAGAAGGGAGTCGTTGGTGCTAGGAAGGAAAAGATTTTCGAAACGGCCGCTAACGAGCTCCGCGCGACTCCCGTTTCTCTTATCCTCCGATTATGTCCGCGTCGCGGCTAGGCAGGATGAATTTATTTCCACGAGTAATTGCACGGTCACGGTTGCCGTTCTCGTGAAACGTGGGGAAGCGTACGAGCGTGTAAGCGGCGCGTCGCGATACAATGGCAAAGGCAAACAGAGGAGGAGGCGATAACAAGTCTCGTTATTTATCGGGATAACCGTGCGTCGAGGAATAGACAAAGCGTGCGGATAGAGGCAGCAGCGTTATAAATGGACGAATAAATAGGGGCAACATTGATTACAGCTCCGGTTCCTGCTACCGGAAAACGGGAGAGGCACAGCTCTCGGGGATGGCAGGTGTCTCTAAACGATCGAAACGACGCTTAGACGGCGCAGCTGTTCCCCCTCTTCGCTTATATCTGATCCATTCCCCGTGAACCGATTTCGAACTCGATCGAGAAAGGATTCTCCTTCTTAATCTCGCTCGTTCCTTCGTGGAATTAAAGTTTAATATCTCTTTTTAAAACTACTTTTTCGAACGAATCTTCGAGTAAACACGAATAGAGTGGAAGTTAACGGCATAGAATTGACACGAGAAAGAGGTTTCTCACAAAGGAGGAACAGAAGGATTAAAAAATCGAGTTTTCCCGGGGATAATTAATATTGAAGGATACGGCGAAATTGGACGATCGAAGAGAGAAAGCGAAAAGACTGTGGGAAGCGTGCGTAGGTGAGAGGAACGTTGGTCGCGCAGAAGGGAGAAGAAGGTGTGTACGTACGGAGAAGAGTGGATAAAATCGCATTGGCCATCGCTCGCTCGCATCTTCTTTTCCCTTTCCTTCCATTTCTTTTCTTTTCTCTTCTCTTTTGTCGTTCGTATCGCTCGTTCGCGCGAGGATCGAGCAGGGCGCGAAAGAAAATTAATACTCGGCGAACACGCCGCCATAAAGCTTCCCCGCGGTAATTACGTGGAGGCGAGTATTATGCGCCTTTGCCCCGACTCGCTCGCGCGCTTTACGAGCTTCTGCGTTTAATAACAAAGGTGAACGATGACAACATTGGAAACGAGATTCGAGGAATCCATCCCCCCCCCCCTCCATATCTCCTTCTCCGCGTGCGTCCTCGCATCGATGATAACGCCTCGATAACGTTATCGTTTCAGTCTGCCTCGATTCGTCCCGAGCCGCGCTCCTCCCGTAAACACGGACACGAGCGGTCAATAACAACGCGACGACAAACGAGACGACAAACGCCGTCGATTAACCGCGCGTAACACCGCTGTCGTACTCTCGTTCGACTCG